TGACCCTGAAAAGGGCCACCAGAGATGACGGTAAGGATTAGAAACCTCCACACCTGGAGGCAGGCTGCAGATGGTGGAGAGAATTTCCTGGATCCTCAGCTTTTGGTTGAGTTCACTGTGGCTGCAGAGATGTGGAAGTCTGGAGGGCCTGAGCTCAGTGGGCTCTGAGGAGGAGTACTTGGTGCAGGTTAAATATGGAAGATTAAAAATGAAGTTTGGATTTCAATTCCTTTCTAAGGCTCCATTAAAAGCAAGGCCAAGAGGTTTCCTATGTCTACAAAGACTAAAATAAAATAACAGGGAAATATCATTCTCTGTCCTGTCCGCCTGCCCAGGAAAAGACTAGATGTTTCCTAGACAATTTGGAAGGATGTCTCAAAGAGACATTGCACAGCTGGGGACCCTGAGGTCCTGCACAGGGACTGTGGAAAGGTTTATATCCTGAACAGTGAGACTCACAGCTGCATCCTTGAATTGACTTCTAGAATGAAAACAGCAGAAGGAGATTACAGGACCACCTTCTGGCTAAACTGAGCCGCCCAGTGAAACAGCCTAGCCCAGTCACTCATCAGTGAACTAGCTGGTGGAGAAGCCTGAGGCAGAGGCCACCTTTCATAACTTCTCTCTCAAATATTAATTACTGCCATGGATCATCAGATATTGGAGGGAAGCCTGAAAACAGAAGGATGGAAACCAAAACAAATAAGCAAAAGAAGTTCTAAAAAAAAAAAATAGACCTTTCAAGAATGAAACCTTGTCATTTCAGGAAAATGGATGGAACTGGAGGTCATGATGCTAAGGGAAATAAACAAAGGACAGCGAGGCAGGTCCTGCAACTCTCATGTGTGGAAACAGGAAGGGAGGAAGGGAGGAAGAGAGGGTGGAAGGAGGAAAAGAAAGTGACCTGAAAGTACAAGAGGGACTATTAGGGAAGGGGAAAGAGACCTGTCAAGAGAGGGGAGAAGGATGGGTGCCTATTATTGAAGCACAACGGATGTATGCCCAGAAATGTCCTGGTGAAAACCATTAACTTGTACAATTAATATGAGTTAATATTTATAATAAAGGAGAAAATGTTCCAGAAGGAAAAAAAAAAAACACTATCAGTGTCCTCAAAGAGATAAGGAAAGATATTGAGTCCATGAAGTGGAACATGATACTATTTTTTAAAAAGAACATTCCAAGAACAAGAAAAATTCTTGGAAACTAAAAATACAAGAGTAAAATAAAGAACTCCATGTAAGGACGCTGGAAAAGGAGATAAAATATCTTAAAGAGTAAAAAATAGATGAGGAAATATAAAATAACAGAAGCTTAAAAATGTAAAATTTTCAGAATTAGATTAGCATATTGAATATCCAAATAATTTAATACCAAGAAAGAGAATTAACTAATATATTAATAATACAAAATTTTCCCAAGTTACAAGTCATGAGTTTCTAGATTGAAATAGTCTACCAAGAGTCCAACGTAATAAATAGTTAAAAAAAAGATTCATATATTGGCATATTACTATAAAATTTCCGAATCTCCAGGATAAAAAGGAGAACCAAACACTTTCTAAAAGAACACACGAGTTACATTAAGGAAGAGAAATCACGATGACCGTGGCCTTGTTAGCAGCAAGTCTGTAAATGATAGGCGATCAATCAATTCTTTCAAAATTCCAAGACAAAAAGTAACATTTACCTAGAATTCTATATCCAGACAAAATATCAAATAAGAGACTAAAATGAATTTGCACACATGTATTGTGTCAAGAAATGTACCTCCCAGGCTACTGCGCAATGTCCTCCACCAAAACAAAACAGCACAGCAGAGGATAACTGAGTATCTAGAGACTTTTATAGCATTGGTGTCAAAGAGGAAGGTCTTAAAACTATCCAGAGACTAAACAGTGCTCATACACAGAGTCAGAAGTCAAGATATAATAGCCTTTTAAGCAGCAATGCTACATAATAGAAAAAAAGGGGACATGGCCTTCCACATCTTGGAGAAAAATTATGCTCATAGCAGCTTGATTCACAATAGCTAATTGTGGAAGCAACCTAGATGCCCTTCAATAGATGAATGGATAAAGAAATTGTGGTATAGATACACAATGGAATATTACTCAGCATTAATAAAAGAGAATAAAATTATGGAATTCGCAGGTAAATGGATGGAGTTGGAGAATATCATGATAATCGAAGTAAGCCAGTCCCAAAAAACCAAATGTCAAATGTTCTCTCTGATAAGTGGATACTGATCCATAATGGGGATGGGGAATGCATGGAGAAAATGGAGTAACTTTTATTGGGCAAAAGGGAGGGAGGGTAGGTAAAGTACAGGGGGGCAGGAAAGGTGGAATGAGATGGACATCATTACTCTAGGTACATATATAACTGCACATATGGTGCAATGCTACTCGTGTACAACCACAGAAATGTTAAATTGTGCTGCAATTGTGTACCATGAATCAAAATACATTATGCTGTCATATATACCTAATTAAAACAAATTAATTAATTTTAAAAAAAGAAAAATCAATTCCAACCTGGAACTCTTTATTCAGTCAAACTATCTGTTAGATATTAGAGTAGGCACGGATCCCAAGGCTATGGAGAAGCAGCATGTTTCTAACAAAACACCACAACCCCAACACCTCTATCAGACACACCATTTACAGAGCCGTGGTGTATGGCACAGGCTGTGCACTGCACACTGAAGGAGGTGGGAGAGGCCTACCAGAGCTGTTCTCTCCCGCTGGTCAGTTTTAGGGTAGTCACAGTCATGACAGCCATGAAGAGATAAGCTCCCAGCAGTTTAGGTTTGAAGATCACAGATCTATAAAGAGTATCATAACTTTATAAAAGCACCACACAGTAGCCAACCATTTAATAAAAAAAAAAAAATCAACTATACTACAAATAATGTTGTCAACCTAGGTCTAGTGCTATTCTCACACAGAGATGTCCTCTCTATCCTCAGATTCAACCAATCAGGGATCAGAAATAGTTGAGGGGGGAAAAAATTGCATGTGTACTGAACACATACAGACACATTCATTGCCACTGTTCCACAAACAATGGAGTAACAACTATTTCCACAGTGCTTACATTGTATTAGGTATTAAAAGTCACCTAGAGTTGATTTAAACTGCACAAGTTGATTGATGTACATGGGTTACAAGAAAATATTGCACCATTTTAGGTAAGGGATTTGAGCATCTATGAGACTTTGGTGTTTCAATGTCCATGGGGACCCTGAAACCAGTCCCCCACACACACCAAGGGACAACTCTGAATGCATGTTCATGTTTCCTCCTTTCTGCAGTCTATCAATTGTAAATATATATAAGCACAGATTTTAGATGCTTCAAAGAATTATTCATCTGGCTTCTTAGCCATTACTAAACCTGTTATCTCTAATTCATTAGTGAAAGCACAGCTATGATCTCTTTGGGTGGGGTAGGGATAAAAGAATGAAGTCTGATGTGGGAGTTAACTGGATTGCATTTCAGAGGAAACCTCCTCCGGGCTTGATTGTCAAAGTCAGCCAATCTGAGATTTAAAACCACAAAGCAAAGAACACACCAATTAAAATTCAAAAGAAAAGCAAATAAAAAATATTTCATCAGAAAATTTCAGAACTTCAAGAGATATTAAAAACTGAATACCAAGATATTCAAAGGCCCCAAAAACTGTATAAGAATTTAGAGTATTTAAGCCAGGTACAAAAACCCTGCATGTTCTCACTCCAGGGTGGGAACTAAAACAGTTGCTCTCATCAAGGTGGAGAGTAGAATAATGGTGGTTACTGAGTTTGAAAAGGTTGACTAAAGGTTCAAACTTCCAGTTAGACAAAAAGAAGAAGTTCTAGCGTAGGGTTAGGGTTAGGGTTAGGGTTAGGGTTAGTTAGCAATAGTTAACTTTGTATTACAAAATAGCTAGAAGAGAGAATTTTTGAATGTTCTAACTCAAAGAAATGATAAATATTGAAATGATAAATATTGGAGGTGATGGGAATGTTAATTTCCCAAATTTGGTTATACTATGTACTGAAATATCTCATTGTATTCCATAAACCCGCACAATTGTGTATCGGTTAAAAATAAAATTAAAAATTTTAAGGAATTGTGAATATAATAGTTATTTCATGCAGCATTCCAAAGCCAACCCATTTATGCATTTCTCAATTATCAAGCTCCCTAACTGTATGATTTTGTCCTCTCTAAACTTGTGTGTGATTCCTACCCTTCACCAGAAGGAGCTTCCCTACCATTCAGGCCCTACCCAACCTTCAAAGCCACATTCAGACTCCAGTGTCCCCACCTAGGCCTTTCCTGATCACCCAAGCCCATAATTTTTGTTCTTCTTTGCTGTTCAGGAGGAGTTTTTGTTTTGGAATTCAGGTGTACCTACAGAAGTCAGAGGTCTTATTCTATCAATTATGCTTTCCACCTCTTAAGAGCCAAGACCTGGCCTTGGACTTCACGTCCCCAGGAGCACACAACAGAGGCTGGGACACGGTCAGCTCTCAGCAGATCCTCACCAGGTACTTCTTTGTGTATTACTACAGAAAAGGGGTGTCAGGGTTAAATTCTTCAGATGGGGGGGCAGGACACATGACCACAGATTGAATGAAGCAGTTCTAGCTTAAAAGGAAATGTATAATGACATAATGCAAATAATAATAATAAGAGCTCGTGTATAATGGCATAATTTGGTGTGAACATACTTTATATACAGAGTTAAGAAAAATTGTGCTGTGAATGGATAATTATGATTGTAATGCATTCCACTATTGTCATGTATGTAAGAAATAAAAAATAAAAATAAAAATAAATTTAAAGGAATATAAAAGCACATTTTTACCCACATTTCCACATATTATACTCTAACATTTTGTTCCAACATAGAAAGTGCTTAAAACACACCTGCTACAGAAGAATCGGAAATACTTCATCACGATGTCACTCTGGTTTTCCATGACGTTACATTGTCTTAAGTTTCTCTTACCTTCCAGTTGTCTTCTGTTTTAGGTAGTAACTCATCTCTCCCTTCATTTTGAAATATGGGGTCTGCTCTGTGCTTCTTTTTCAGTTCTCTCCGTATTCCACAGTCTCTTCTAGGCCACCTCATGATGGAATGCAACAGTGGTAACATGAACATCCACTTTCCAGACATCTTTCCTGAGCTGTAGAATTGCATAGCCTATTGCTTTGCTGTTTGAATATCTCAAATTCAGCATGGCTGACTCGAACTCAAGGCTATTCTCCTGTTCAGTTATATAGCTCAGCAAAAGGCCTCACCGTCCTCACAGAGCTCCAGCCAATAACTCGCGGTTACGTTGAATCCATCATTCCAATCAATTCACTGCCAGGTCTCTTTCTCATATCTGATCTATTGTTACTTGGGTAACTATCTCCTTTGTGACCACCTGGTCCAACCTATTGTGATCTGCTGCCAAGTTCCTCCTGCAGTTTCCTAACTGATATCTCTGGAGCCAATCTTGCCACCTTCCCAATCCACTCTCCATGCAGCAGCAGAAACAATCTCTTCCAAAAAAACAAACAAACAAATATATATATTTACTCTCAGGCTGAAAACCTTGCCCTGATTTCTCACCAGACTTAGGCAAACGTCTCTAGTGGATGCCCTGGGAGTCAGAAGCTCCTCTCTGCAGGACTGAGGCACACCTTCCCACAGCAGCTTCGGACACACCACATGAAACCTCTCAGCCGAATTCCTCTCCAGGACTGACCATCAGATGAAGAATGCTGCCTCAGCCAAGATCACACACCTTCCCCAGGGAGGATTGCATTTGGCCACTGGTGAAATGGTCACTGAGGAAGTGACCCCTCAACTTGCAGCAACTCTGAGGGGCCTTCCCTGTAGGACAGAAGACATATTTGCTCAGACTGTATCATAGTTCAATTTATTTCTCTGCCCAGTCCTATTTCCTTCCAGAATAATCACCTATAAACTTTCTGCCTGCTAACATGGCTGAGTTGTTGCAGTATCTTTGACCTGATTTCTAAGCTATCCCTGGTCTGACCTCTGTTGACCTGTAGGCCATGCTCCCCCAAGCTCTCTATAGGTTTGTCATTCCAGACTTCTTTCAGCTCCTTCACTGCGACATTTTCCTGCATGCCTTAGGCTCCACCTGAGACAGTAAATGCTAGCTCATCTGCATTCTCCAATTCCTTCACCATCACATCACCTAGCGAACTAACAAATTCTTACTCTGTGTTCAAATTTCGACCCCAGCTCTGAGACGTCTCCTCAGACTCTCAAGCCCAGTTAGTTTCCCTACAATCTGCTCCCACAGCCTAATAGACCTGTCTCTCAAGGTACTCTAAAGGAAATATAATGAACTATTTTGTAACTAATTGTGAGATGTTTGCCTCCCTTGATATAACATCAGATCCTAGCTCTCTTGTTTGTTCCTGAATTCTAATAATGATCACTCAGAAAATAACAAGTACAGCATACCTAATATGTTTGATGATCAATCATATACTTGGAGCTAACCTGATTCAGTCTCCTTAAGGGAACAGCAAATAAATGAGTGGAGATAAGGTAGTCACCAAGGTCAGGTCAGTACATCTACATTGGAAGGATATACTTTGTAGCTTAATTCGACTTCAGATCTTCATGACAATGAAAAGAACCTGTGATCTCCCAAACTTTCAATAGAAAAGAATCCCAAAGGCTACCTGAGGAAAGGTAGCTACCACATAAACTTGCCAATGCCCATCACAAAGAAATCCACTAAGGCAAATCTTCCTAGAAATGTGTCTGGAACAACAGAGAGGGAAGCAGGACTTGGTATATGTTAGGAAGGGGATTGACCAATGCAAACAGAACAAAGACCCTGACTGGTAGGGAATATTTGAGTTAAGAACAATAATGGGGAAAAATAGGGACAGCAATTTTAAGTGTGTTGGGGTGATGTGGAAAGAAGTAAAATGGGGGGCTGGGGATGTGGCTCAAGCGGTAGCGCGCTCGCCTGGCATGCATGCCGCCCGGGTTCGATCCTCAGCACCACATACAAACAAAGACGTTGTGTCTGTCTGTCTGTCTGTCTGTCTGTCTCTCTCTCTCTCTCTCTCTCTCTCTCTCTCTCTCTCTCTCTTTTTTTTAAAAAAAAAAAGTAAAGTGGGCACATGCAGTGACTAAGTATATCACTGTGTTCTGACTCCTCTATAATCTAGTGTTGCATCTTGGAAGGAAAGGTTCATCCACATGGATGAAGCTTCCATCCAAGTCACACAACACAACTGAGGAGGCTCCGTTTCCATCGCACCCTCGGTGAATGGTGCCTTTGTGACTGCAAGGCAGTCAAGTAGTGGAGGCCTCTACTTAGATTTGAGAGCTAAAAATATAAGGCCCCTATCCTTAACCCCCCCGTGTGTCGTGGCAGCTCAGTTTTGGAATGTGGTTGATTAATTCCAGTGGTAGTTATCGTAATTACACCTTTGGGATCCCAGGATGAGTCTGCAAATGGATGTGGGGTGGCAACTATTTCATCACTGGCCCTACAGTCAGCTTTCACCATGAAAGGCTTGAAGAGGAGTTGGAGTCAGGAGCCAAGTTTGGATAGAGTATCAAGGATGAATTCTGAACCTATCAAAGATAACTCTGGGAGAACAGGCTATGCAGAGCAACTATAGATGAGACCTCAGTGTTCGGGAAGGAAAGGGGGTCACTGGTCAGGTTTTGAAGGTACCTATGAAGTCCATAGCAAGAGATGGATGGAGAGAAAGGTATGCAAATGGAAGCTTAGGAAGTCAAGGCTGGAGGCCAGGAACGGGCTGCAGATAATTACAGAATAATCCTCAGAATCAGAAGGGGCAGTTGGGAGTGAGAGGTAATTTGGTTAATGCTGTGTGTTCGTGCCAGTGGGTGTAGGGGCTGCGAGGGCACAGAAGGGTGGCCCTAGCAGTGTGGGGTGCTCCTGGAACTGCCCGCCAGCCCTGTCTAGTGCTGCGCCTGTTCTGTGCAAAGAACCACATGGGTAACTGATAAAGCCAACGTGTGTCGTAAGCATGGGTGACACTCACTGAAACAGGCATCTTGGCTCTTTCACAACCCAATATCACCTTCTTTGACAGAGAAGTTAAGGATACGGATTTTATTTATTTTTTAACCCAAATAACCTGAGTAGTGGCCTCAACTATTCCCTCTCTTTGTGCCAGGGGTGGATGGAATTCAAGCAAGGCATCTGTGACTAATCAAAGCAAGCTCACCACCATCCCACTCCTCCAGGACCAAACGCTGCACCGGAAGTTTCCGTGGCTGTAATGGAATCTGAGCCTCATTACAGGGGGCTTTTGAAAAGCCTCTGGGAACAGGAAAATGACCTATATCCATTTCAAGAGAGCCTAAGTACAATGGCTAATCTTAGGTACCAACTTAACTCGGTTAAGCGATACCCAGACAGCTGGTGATGGCAGTGTTTCTGGGCATATCTGTGAGGATGTTCTAGAAGAAACTGGCAATTCAATAAGTGGTCTACGTGAGGAAGATCCACCCTCACCCTTTGTGAGCAGGGGCACCATCCAGTCAGTGGAGGGCCCAGAGAGCACAAAATGCAGAGAAAGAAGATGCACTCTTTCTCTTAAAAGGTGGGTGCCCTTTTCTCTGACCTAGGACATTAGAACCCTAGGTCCCCAGCCTCCAGACTCCAAGACTTATGCCTGTGCTTCCTCAGGCTCTTGGGCCTTCAGTCTCAGACCAAGAGTTTCACCATCAACCTCCCTGGTTCTAAGGCTTTGGGATTTGGATTAAACCAGGCTACTGACTTCTCTGGTTCTCCAGCTCTGGGAGGGGTCTCTTTCAAACTCCAAAATCACATGAACCAATTTTCTTAATAAATACCACCCCCCTAATAAATCCTGAATCTGTGGATTCAACCAATCTTGGATCAATTTACTGGAGGGGCTGGGGTTGTGGCTCAGTGGTAGAGTGCCCAACCTCCATGAGGGAGGCCCTGGGTTGGATCCTCAGCACCACATAAAAATAAATAAAATAAAGGTATAGTGTCCATCTACAGCTTTAAAATATATATACTGGAGAAAAAAAAATTGCATCTGTCTGAACATGTACGGAATCTTTTCCTTGTCATTATTACCTAAACAATAGAGTATAACAACTATTTATATGGTAGCCACCTAGCATTGCGTATTGCAAGTAATCTGCAAGAGGTTTGAAGTATACAGGAAGATTGTGTAGCTTTTACACAAATACAGCCCATTTTTAGGGACTTAAACATTCACTTATTTGGGGACACAAGGCATCTTAGAACCAATCCTCCAGAGATAACAAGGGATGACTATATGCATATCTATATCTAGCTAGCTAGGTATAGAGATAGGTAGGTAGGTAGGCAGATGATTGACAGATCTTCCCTATTAATTCTGCTTCTCTGGAGAACCCTATGAATTCAAAAAGCAGACACTCAGCAACCACAAAATAAACAGTCTCTTTCAAGGCACTGATCAGTAACATGGTGTCCAGGTACAACCTGGAAACGGAGGAGAAGAAATGGAGGCTTGAGAGATCTGCAACTTAGAAGGCACATCCACGCTGCATTTCTTTTAAACTGAAGAAAATAGGAGTCAGCTGTGAATTGACAAGGAAAATGAAAGAATCTGGGGCTTGAAAGGAGAGAAGGTGAGTTGGGAAGACAGGAAAGGAGACCCGTGATCCACCTCATTCAAGGCCAAGGCTCTCACATTCTTCAGTGGAGTGCAGAGTTCACCCTCTCAGCTATCCAATTCAAAAGGCTGACTGGGAGCCAAGCTTCCTCCCCCCTCGTCACTACACCACAGGCTGGGAACCACAGCAGCGGCCGCAGGTTTCTGGCTCAGCTCCAACTGCTTTATTACTTATTAACTTATTTTATATAGCCTTCAGCATGGCAAGAAAGCTTCCTTTAATTATCAACAGGAATGCAGAAGCCACAAGGGGAAATCAGAGCCGGAGAACTGCGGCTGCGCTGATTACACCCTGGCTCTTATCAAGGCGGACGCAGAATTTGAGTTGAGCAGATAGGATGCTAGGAGCTGCAGGCAGCGCGTGGGAAGGAACCTGAAGGCAAGCTCCGTGCTGGAATGAATTCTCAATGAAGAAGGTTTTTTCCTCTTTTTCTTCCCTTTTCTTTCAGTTCTGGGCAAGTTAGGATTCCAAGTTGTCAGAGACAGAACATAAAGATGAGGTGCAATCTTGTTGTGCAAGTGGGCAATGTGGCAGAGCCAGATAGACTGCAAGGTGGTGAAGAAGAGGAGAGCATTGACCACAGAGCAATGCCTAAGCCTTTGCATAAGCTTTAAGAACGGTCATTGGGGCTGTCTTACCAGCAAGCAGAGATAGGGCAACTCTTTGGGAGAGCTGGGGAATACAGGAGACCCTTCCCCTGCCCAGATGCATTTCCCATTTGGGTTCCAGGGTATCTAAGCCAGCATGCAAGATAGTGTACTGCCTTCCCCTAGTGTCACTATGCCTTCTCATAACTGTGTCTATCCCAGCAAAAATTTTACCAGTAAAAGTGCTCGGTGGAGAGAAGTAAAAGAAGACACAAGAGAATACTGAACAAGATACTTAGAGTACGGAAAATAAACCATCCGCCTTCCTAACTTCCAGGTGCAAGAGATTCCCAGACTATAGCATCTGAAGGGTCTTCTGATTGTGTCCTAGACTCTGATTCTCTTTGGGGGAGATGTCACATGCCATACCTTGAGTTCACCTCCAAAGAAAAGACAAGCCTCAATGCAGGACAAAAGGAGCAGATTAGAATGGGCAGGTACAGGGAGATGTTAAGAAGGATTTTTCCTCAATGGGAAACTTGTAGAAAGAAGTCAGTTTTCCTGTCTTAAAGAATACCTGGCACACAAAAAAATGCTACCAGGGTCCATGAAGCTCCCATGACACAAAGCTAAGATGTAGTGTGGCAAGAACAATGACTGATTTGCCAAGAGACAGCCGGCCTGTCCCCTGTGAAGACTGTCATAATGAAAGGCTACAGAGTGTGTATCAGATGCACCCGAGGGCCAGGGAACTTCCATATCACCCTAGAGCAGGAAGATGGTGGTTGCCTAAAGTATACATTTAGAAAAGAAGTGAGCTGTAAAATTTTGACAGTAGAAAAACTGGGGGAAGCAGAATAACACTGGGCGAGAGAACAAGTTGGTGGAGCTATGTCGAAACAAAAGAGAGTCCAGGCTTGGTGACATTCCATGACCTCTGGCAAAAAGTAGGACAAGTGCTGAAAAGTCAAGTATGCCAGGGAGAGGCGATTATAAAAGGAGAATGTATTAAGGAAAAGGAAGAGAGGAAGAGATAATCAAATTTTTCTTATTATTATAAAAAAGTTAAAATGTCCCATAAAAAATATTTGGCTTACTCAAAAGAGGAAACATAACTGTAAATTTGTACATCATGCAAGTGTATTTATAATAAGAAACACCTGTGAGATAAAGAAGCACTTTGAAAAAATAATATATTCTATGTAAGTCATTAAAACAACTGACTCTGTCCCTCTTATTCAAGACTTCTCTCCCACAGTTTTTCTTGCTTTGGTCTTTTCTAGATCTTCTTCCCATTGTCAAACATGTTTGAACTTCCCTGTATTAAAAGTCATTAAAAAAAAAAAAGAAAAAGCTTATCTTAAAACTTTTCTCCTATTATTTTCTGCCACTGTTTCATCTCTGCCTCTCTTATAATAGCCAAAAATAAACTTCACGTTCATAGTCTCCACTTGCTATGTTCAATTTTAAAGTCCTCCATCTTCCCTTCCTTTACTTAATAATTTCATCAATCCAGCTTCTACAGAATTGTATTCTATGTCCATGGCATAATAGCTACTTCCAAAAACATCCAAGCCCTTTTCTCATACTTTACCCTCTTCATTTCTCTACCATATCTGCAATCGCCATCCCTAAATGCTCCTAATTTGTTCCTCCCTTTCTCCTTTGTCTCTTCCTGCTCCCAGGCCCCATGGTGTCAAGATCCTCTTTGCACAACTCTCTCTACAGGATGGCAAACCAAAGCAAGCTCTCAGAGCCTTACACTTTGGAGACACAGTTCCATTGTTTCCAAGCCAGACAAAACAATTAAGGACATGGATCTTGGCCAGTGTCCAGAGAATCCCCTACGTTGTCATGATGCTGTAGTTTTCTTTCATTTGATCAGGGAAGATATAGATCATAGTAAGCCAGGAGAGAATGCTTACTTTGAGCATTTTTACCAGCTTTGATTATTTTCTATCTCAATCCTGTGTCCAAAGATAGTGTGGCTTTTGTAGGTGGTATACCAGATGGCTGGAAGGGAGGCACAGGAATGGGCTGTATATTGTCACCTTTGCCTTATTTCTTTGATTTATAGAAACAAATGCTGCCTTCCACTCACCATCCTCTGTAGCGAATGTATGACATAACTCTGAAAGTATACCAAGCAAGAAAACAAAAAATGAAAACCTTTGACAGCAAATGCCTCCAAGCAGGAGAATAGGCTAGCTGGGAGAAAGAGGTGAGGGGCTGACTTCATGACAGCTGTTCTACATTTTGCCTTATGTGCTGTGGTCATGGACCATGGATTCAAAGAGCAATTTTCAATAGAAAAATGCAGAAAGCCTGCTGATCCAGAAAGAAACGGAGACAATCCCTGCTCTCAAGGAAGATGGGACATTATTTTCAAAGGAAATAATAGATTGTTTATTCTGGCCCTTCCACAAACTCTCTGCCTAACATTAGCCAGGTTATTTAACTATTCTGATTTTAGTTACTGATTTTCATTTTTTTATTTTATAATTAAATTATTTATTTGTGGAATGAAAAGACTAAATAAAATAATTACTTATATTCATCCATTTACTCATTCATTTGTTCAATTTATTCATTCAAAAAATATTTAAAGAGAACTGTATTCATTGGCTTTTTCTGTATAACCATCTCAGAACTTAGTGGCCTAAAGCATACCACTTAACTCAGAATTCAACACAAGGGCAACTTGAACTGAGCTCAGCTGGGTGGCTCTTCTGCTAGTTCAGTTGGGCTTACTTACATATCTGCAGTCAGCTGTCACGTTAGCTAATGTGGCTTTGCTTTGTGGGCTTGGATGTTTTTTTTTTTTTAATGTAATGTTTTTTATTACTTCCAAGATGATTTTTTCTCAAGGGTTTAATGAGACAAATGGGGAAAAAAAAAACTTTTCAGAATAGCAAGGTAAAAGGCTATTTCTTACATAACTATCTCAACAACACTCAAAATGAAAGAGAAGTTCTGATTTAACCCCAGAAGAAACAAGTAAGTCTCACATTGTGTTAATCAAATTTCATCAACTATAATTCTCCTTTCTTTACTTCTCACAAAGCAGAATTTGTTAAGGAAGTGCAATTAGTATTCCTTTTGTGGCCATGGAGCAAATGTAGGATTCTGTTATGAAGACAGATTGGCCCATGTTTTAGTCAGCTTTTTCAATCTTGTGATTAAAAGACCCAACCAGAACAACTATAGAGGAGGAAAAATTTATATGAAGGCTCACAGTTTCAGAGGTCTTAGTCCATAGAAGGCTGGCTCCAATCCTTGGGGTCAAGGTGAGGTTGAACATCATGGCAGAGTGTGTCGCATCCATTCCTTGGGGCTCAAGGTGAGGTTGAATATCATGGCAGAGTATGTGGCAGAGAGAAGCAGCTCACATCATGGTGATCAAGAAGAGAGACTCCACTCTCCAGATACAAATGTATACAATGTATACCCAAAGCCACGCCCCAATTCCTACCTCCTCCAGCCATATCCTACCACTTCAGTTATCACAAAGGTAACCCCTATCAGAGGATTAAATCACTAATCAGGCTGTCTCTTACAATCCACTCATTTCTCCTTTGAACCTTCCTGCCTTGTCTCACACATGAGCTTTTGAGGGACACCACAGCTAAACCATAATAGGTTGCTATTGATTGAGACAACAGAGGCAATTGGGCCACATGGTTCACACGTAGACAGCTAGCCTGGGCTTGTTCACATGGCGACCTGAGATTGCAAGAGTGACAAGAGGGCAGAACCTCAAGGAAAACCCTCTCTTCAATTTTCTGCTTATATCATGTTAGCCAATGTCCCGCTGGCAAAATTAAGTTCAGCCATATTTAAGGAGTGGATTATAGGAGTCTAGACATGATGAGAAAAACTAGACAGTCAATTACAAGGAAGAGATAAAAAAAAGGCATGGGAATAATTTGAAACCATTCTTGCAGTCTTCCACAGCATCCTCTTGGTGCAAACAGTCAGTACAAAAATCCAGGGTGACATGGACCATCAGGCAGTTCTCTAAAGGAAGTCATCATTTCTGTAAAATTATTATGGCCAGATAAGCAAAATCCTCTTGAGATGGACTATTATGGTCAAACTCTTCCAAATACTAACTCAAATTATTTTGTTAAACTTTACCTGAAAAATCCACTTGCATATCCAAATAGCATCACCTCTGTCTGGACCTCTTAAGAGAGTGGAGGGAAGTAATGACTGTTTACAGATTTCCCTCACTGGGGCTCACAGGCTTTCTTTGTTTAACTGCAGCTTGAGGAGCAATAATCTATATGTCTCCCTGACCATCAGGAACAGAAGGAATCGATCAACTAACGATGGGTTCTAAACACGTACATTGTTCCCAGCACTAAGCCAGATAAAGCAGGGATCAAATGAGGCTAAATCCCATTCCTTCCATCTGGAAGTTTGGCTTGTAATGAGGAAAACATGCACATGTGCACGTGTGTGTGCGCACACACACACATAAACATCCAAAGAAAGATAAGTTACCATACCACGTAGTAAAGTGATAAAGATGTTGAATCCAAGACTTCTTCCAAGTGTAAGGTTTCTCCAGGTGTTCCAGCTGCTCTGACACTATCTACTCCCCACTTCCTGCTGTGTCGAGTGTCCCACTGTAAATTACCCTGTGGAGAGGAAATGACATTGCCGGGCTCCATCACACCTGCTCACACACCTGCTCACAACCTCACATCCCTCACACCCCTGTCATCACCCACCAGATGCCCCCTCAGCAATCCTCCACATTGATGTATAAGTTTACATCCTCATATTTAAATTTAGATAGGACATTCCCTCCCAACCACGTATGAGGGAGAAATATCACTTTTTAAAAACAATGAAAAATAGGCACAAGCAAAGGCTTCTGCTTTTTCTCCTTGACAGGAACTCAAAAGAGAAACCCAAATCCATGTAGACAATGACCCAAAGGGCAGAAGAACCTTGAAAAGGGGAGTTAGCTGCTGGAAAGGGTACTTTGCTAGGGCTAAGGGCCCTGAGATCTAAAGACAGTATTGATATTGTTCCTGGTGTCATTGGGGGCATAACCACTGTGACTTTGAGTTTTCCAAATTTCAAAGGAAAAAAAATGAATATGAAATTTTGCCCACCTACCTCTGGGGATTGCTATAATTTTCCAATGTGGTAAGTAAATAAAATAATTCCACAAAAGGTAAGTTCTCATATCAGTACATTAACAGTGACATCTAAAACTGGGAATGACACCCAAAATATTTATAGACTGATGTGGCATTGCACAAATGAATCAGAGACACCTAATCAGTCACCGTAAACACTGAATGCTTCATAAATTCTGTGTGAACTGATGCCTGTCCACAGGATATCAGCCCATCCCTGCAGATCTATATGTTATAGTGAGAGAAGTGGTCCAAGGACAAGACCACTCCGGGCCTGCCCCAGCTCAAAAATAAACACTGGGCTTGGAGTGTAGCTCAGTGGTAGAACACAAGCTTAGCAACCACAAGGACCTGTGTTCAATTCCTAGAAGCAAAAACTAGCTAAATAAATACTCCTTACAGCATATGAAGATTCCTAATGCTAATAAACTTTTCAAAAACTTTGAAACCCAAAAGGTAAAGAAAGCCTGAACATAATTTTTAAATTAATAAGATGAATGTGTGATTTTAATATGCACATTCCCATGAACTTTTCAAAATCATTCAAAAAGTGTAGTGACTATCTAGAAGTCTTCTACATACTTTTGCCTAAAAAGTGGCTAAATATCAAATGGCTATCAAACTGCTGTGTAAGTGCCTTGTCTTCACTGGTGCCAGATGAAGTTTTGTTTCCTTGAGGCTAATGATCAAGAGGTTTTAGAAAAGATACCCAGAAGATACTATCATCAGGATACATGAGAAGATACCATCTTTTCAGACGCTGCACTAAGTCAGCTGTACAGAGCTCCATACCAGTGAGCTTCAGGGGAACTAACATGTGAGACATGCTCATAAGAAGGAGGAAAAGTCCGAATGTAGGCCCCAGTCAGTGCCTGAAAGTCCCACTACAAGGGCTGATGCCTATCTGTGCTTGTCTGGCAACCTGATCTCCTGGACTTGCCAAACATCCAGTTGAATGAGGAATGAAGAAACCTCCTGGGGAGAAGTTCCAAGGGAAGAGAAGGTCAAACAGATAAGCATGGCTGATAGGGTCAGAGAAGGGACAGTTCTAAGACCATTCCAGTGTGTGTGTGGCTAGAACTGGAGTCCTGTGGATGTGGTGGAGCTTGGTGGCTCCAGGAGGAAGAATTTGGAGTTGCTCAACTTAAGGGCACAGGCTGACTTTGGTAACTCCTCTGCACCCACATCCACACTGTCACCAGCCCATCCACCTCTGGGACCTAAAGCAATCCAACTAAAACTGCTCTGCCAGAGGCAACTCCAGGCACCCAGAGGACGCAACTGTCCACAGGAGGAGCCCCCGGGCTCCCAGCAGATGGCAGTGGTGCCTGGCTGAGGCAGCAGAATCTGTAAAGGTAGCTCACTGGACTTCAGTCCTCTGGCTGGAGTTTGGGTGCAAGGAAGGGAAGTCCAAGGATCTGAAAGGCACAGTTCCTGAGAATGCCAGAATTGGAGTGCTATGGAGTCCCTGGACTCAGAGCTCAAGCCTGGTGCCTGTCCCCTCTCCTTCTCCTCCTCTTTGAGAGGCTGTTTTCATCCCAGAAACTTCAATTCTCTATCTCCCTGCCCTGCCCCCCTACCCGCCATCTTTCTTCTGCATTTCAGGCTCATACATCTAATTGGCTAATGGGTATCACCATTTGGATACCAAACTTAAAATGTCCAAAATTGAACTCTCCATTTTTTCCCTTGCAAACATCTTGAACCTGCTGCCTTCCTTATCTCAGTTGATGGGAGCCTTGTTCATCAGTTGATCCCGCCAAATATCTGGCAATCATTCTTACCTCCTTAAGGTTTCTATTAAAGAGAGGAAGTTAGAGAACCTGTTGTATGTGTTAAAAATCCCTCAAGTACAATCAATGCAAGCAGGACCTCTCCCACCAAAACCCTCCACTGCATTAGGACGCGGCACACCTCTGTCCTCCCATGCAGGCTTCCCAACCACACCAGCCTATGAGGCCTTCTTTGGCCCTGAGCCCCACAGTGCTCCCAGTACAAGCGGCTCATTTAGCATTTCACTATATTCTATTAGGATTGTGCACTCACCTTCTCGTGTGTTTTAATCTTGTTGCTGCAACTGAATAATGAGGCGGGGGTCCTGAGTTGTCCCATAGTGGGGGTCAGTTATTTGGAGCAGTCTGACCTATGTGCTGAAGAGGAGGTGGGATGACCAGACTGTTTTCAAAGGGAGTTGGGCTAAAGATTTTGAGTGTGTGTGTGTGTGTGTGTGTGTG